CGGACTCAAAGGTTCCATAACAATTTGATACCAAAAAATTAAAAATGCAATTTCATGAAAAAAGCATTCATTCATGATTCATCGATTTTTCATTATTTTCTTTTGCTATCTTTCAACGTTTTATTCATGTATAATTCTCCCTTCGTTTAGAAATGGCATGTTTCTTTCTTTAAAAACAGATGTAATATCTTTGACGTCATGCAAAAATTACTAGATACACTCATGCAATCACTAGATGTTTACATTTAGGCAATCCATTTCTTATTTTAATTACTGTACTCAAAAATAAAGATTTTTTGTACAAAAGAGATATCCCACAACATCCTTTTCACTGTTAGAAATTTCATTCTGAAATTGCGGGAAATGACCGGTAGCAGTCTATCCATTCAATTAAATATGAAGCTACAACAATGAATATTTCTTTACCTTTACGAGTTTGAGTTTATGAGTTGAGTTTACGAGTTCTTTACTTTTACGAGTTTGAAACCATTTACAACTCTTAGAGCTTAGAAACCGTTAATACAATAATATACGATTTTGTAACCATTTATGTCTAGCATGATTTCAAAACAGTAATAATCAACTGTAACTGGACATTGGAGTTAAGTTAGTTTAGCCTTTTTTTAGGTAGTGTACATTGGAGTTAGGATAAGTTAGAGTTGAGTTTTGTCAAGTGAAACGTGGAATGTTGCTTAATTAGTTTATCTAGTGATGTCTCCTATCGTTGAAAATGGGAATACTAGACTTTTTGTGTTAAGCAGCTCTGCGGTACTGACAGTACCGTACTGTCCTCCTTTCGTGAATGAGAGTTTCGCTTTCCAATAGCTCAGGGTTATCTGATAGGGAGTGCAGGATGCAACAAACACATCGCGCTTGAAGAAATGGAGAAAATATTGTGCTGTCAATGCTGGAATTCGAACCCTTGTTCATGAAATGCCCAGATCAATTTTCTCAGCTAAAATATCTATCCATCTGAGGGCCTAATTGGCGTGGATAAAATTTTAGTTGTATAAAAGTATTAGGTAAAAACAGTCCATAAACAATTTTGCTCACAGTTAATAGTTTAAGTTCCGTTTTTTCTATGGTTATTTGACTGTTTAGATTAAAATTGGTAAAATGGAAAGTTAATCAATTGTTATTTAACCATTTATTTAGAAATTTCTAACAGTGCTGTAAGTTACAGCCAGGGTTCTCGTAAAGGTTATAGTCCAAAGGTTATAGCGTAATTAACGCTGCAATGGTGGCAATATAATCTGCTTTGCACATTGATAACCTTTTATTCCCACTGGTGCCAATTAATGTATAGTTGAATTTGATTTAATTCAAACGCCGGAGATAGGTCGCCAGTGTAGCACAATGATTGCACAGTATTATATTTATAATAACGTTTTCTGACCTTTCCTTAAAATTGTTCAAAAATTAGAAATAATTTAAACCTAAGGATAGGGTAAATGTGAGAAGTGTATTTGTATTCAGAGCAGTTAACTGTTCCGATTCAGCCTATATAATTAAAACATGCGAATTAGAGAACGTTTATTTATTTATTTCAAAACGCATCAAAATAAAAATCAGCATTAATTTTGAATATTCCATTTTTTTCCTTGACAATTGTCTCACTTCTAATATTTATCTTAAAAAATACATTTTTGTGAACCATAAAAAGAGTAACAGAAAACAGTTATAGTCAGTATATCAAACTGAAATAAGTGCCATTCAAAGCAAAAGGAAATCTATTGGCAAATCTCACTCAAATTTTTGCAGAAATGTACCAGTGTTTACTAAATCCATTATAGCTAACAAACTATTAATTAGTATTTTTTAAATTTAGTCTTAAACTAATTGCTAAAATACATGACATAAACAATATTTGAAAGGATGAAAATTGCAAATTTTTATAAAAATTAACAATAGTCGTCATAAACCGCTAAGCATAAGTAAAAAATAGCTTTAAGTTTGAGATTAAACTATAAAAACAAGGCAAATTATGCTGAAAATTTTAAATCCTACTACGATTTCTTTCATTTTTAATAAATCAATAATTGTTTTACAACAAATTAATATTTATGCAATGCGATAGATAAGACTGCTTCCGTTGAGATTCAAAAACAAATAAATACTTTTTTTTACTGTATGTAACTTGAATAAAAAAGCAACATGACTGTTCCTCTTTATTTTATTTTGTTTACAGATAATTCATAATGATTCGTAAAGATAATTTTTATAATGTTATTCAATTTCACATTCTTATATTTTATTTTCAGGTTCTTAAAATCAATCTTTTGATTTTAAACTAGTTGATTTTTTCCTTTCTGTATCATTATTTTCTTCTTTTCTTCCAGTAGAGTTCATTCTTTCTTATTGAAAAGGGTTCTTGTAACGATAATGCCGCTAAAATTTTTCCCGCTTTCGTCTCATTAAACGGCCCGTTTTCTAGAAAAAAAACTGTACATATTCAAAGAAAGTATAAAGTTAAAAGAATACTTTCAGATACAGAATAAGAAGACTTGAAAAACTTAGTGGCACGAAACTTAGTACAAAACTTTGATGAAATTCCTTTAGATACAATTTTGTTGCATCTAGCTAGTTATGAAATATTTAAATGTTTTACAGATTGCATTGTTTTCTCAGCACAAAATTGCTTGTTAAGCGAAGCGATTTTCACGGAAAAACATCTGTTACAAAAATTTCAAAATAAATAAATGGAGATAATTCAAATAATTTATTTCCAAAAAAAATAAGCAGTAAATTTCATAAATTTATTCATGTATATGTATACAGGACGTTTCATATGATCAGTTTTATAGGTTTTGAGAATTATTCTCAAGAAAAAAAATTCAAAAAAAAAATGAATAAATTTAGTCTTAAAGTAATCATAATAACAATTCGAACAATTAATACTTAAAATACACAAATATTACAAATTTCGATACAAATTAGTATATGATATTACCCCTTAGCAGTAGAACACAATTGATTCCAATTTTTGATAAAAATATGACAATTGGTTTCCAAATAAAAAATTTTTGCAGTCCCTCATTTTTGTTCACCCTCTCAATATGGCTCAGTCCAATTATATAAAACAAATGAAAACTTATATACCTATGACTATCATATAGTCATCGAACTTATTAAAATGATCGAAAATTGGATTCAAATGGGATCCGAAATTGTTATTTTATAGCTAACTCGAAGAGAACACGAAATCTTTAAATAACAATAAAACAGTTATTTCTAAATCCATTTGAGCACAAGAAAACTGGCGAAATTTGGAATTTTAAATTAATTTTCTAACATGAAGGGGTAAAAAAATTACTTTTAATCAATTTTACTGAACTAACGATGAGAATTTCCCTACCTACCGCAAGCACCTACTTAGAAAAGCAAATTGGCACATACACACACACACACACACACACACATATACACAAAAAAAAA